AAAAAAAAAAAAAAAAAAAAAAAAAAAAAAATTACTACTATTTTTGGTAAAATGATTATTCTTATTATATACATATATATATTAGAGCTTAATTTATCAAATTGCAAATTTAAAATACTCTTGAAGTAAATTTTCCCCCAACCATTATTGGTTGTAAGTTGTAAGAAAAAAAGATATATATTATTTTCAAAAAGTCATGTCACACGTGAGGGAAAGGCGCGATGTAATTGCCCTATTAGATTTATAGAATCAGAGGAAGAGTGCAGCTCCACACAGGTAAAACGCACCATTAGCCTAGGTGAACCTTAGTGGGGTTGCATCCTAAACAATGAGAAGAGTAGTCCACTAGGTTATAATACTAGCTCATTTATTCTATAGAATCAATGTGAAACACCTCACAAATGATATTCCAACACGCCTTCTCACTTGTGGTATCAAATTTAACATGCAACTTTATGCCTAATATGCATAAAATGTGATATTATTAAAATATTGTATATTCCTTCTAGGTGTTATTGGAGTTTAGTTGAATACCTCATGATCAAGCTCGTGTTTGATTAATAAATGTGTTTGATATGACTCGTTATATAAACGAAAAAAAAATGTGAGCTTGAGCGCGATTCATTTAATAATCAAATTCAATTGGTTGCTCGAGTTTTAACGGTCAATTCGATTTATATTCGCAAATAATTCATATCAAATTATAATTCTAGTCCCCTAAAAAAATTATGCATCCAAGTATCATATGTAAATCAACTGAAATAACTAATTTGATTTGAGAGCAATTTTAGGTTAGATATTTTTTGACACCTAACAATTAATTGTGTTAGTGCACACTAGGGCTGCAAACGAGTCGAGCAGCTCGCGAGCTGCTCGCGAGCGCTCGAGTCAAAGCTCGACTCGAGCTCGAGTTTGACCGATCTCGAGTCGAGCTCGAGCCCATATATTGCATTGTCGAGCGGCTCGCGAGCGGATCGAGATATGTGAAATTACTAAAATACCCTTGTATATATATGTAATCAATGTTTATTTTACAAAATTTCTTGAAAAAATTCGAGCCGAACTCGAGCCGAGCTCGAGCATTATGAATTCGAGTCGAGCTCGAGCTCTTGTATGTTTTGATCGAGTCGAGCTCGAGCACCAAAAATCGAGCTCGACGAGCTCGAGCTCGAGCTCGAGCACCTCAAAAAAAAAAAAAAAAATCAATCCGCTCGATAAGACCAATGCTCAACTCGGCTCGGCTAGTTTGAAAAATATTGTTGAATTTAACGTCTAATCATAATAACCTTGACTTCCTGCATGCTGATTGATGCTGTATAATTGCAACATAATAGATATCTACTTCATTTAAATTTTTATATATAGAAATTGAAATCACCACTCCTTTTGAAGTAACCTTATCCTTAAAGAGCCAAAATTCAAAAAAAAAAAAAAA